ATGGAGTCATCCGATTTTCAGATGCATGTGAAGAAATTGTATGCATCATCTTCAGAATTCTACAGGAGGAGGAACATTATAGGTTAGGTTGGTAAACTGATGCATGCACTTGAAGCTAAAAGAAAAACAAAAAGTACTTCTTTCACTAGTATACAGAGTTCATCTTCCTCAAATAAAGGTGTAGGATAACTACTGTGTAAATATGATTCGAGTTACTGTAGAACTGAGACTATAAGAGCATGTCCGTCTCTATCCCTTTTATTTTCCTCACATTTGTCAGAAGTATATTGAAATATCGCATCTTAATAAATAAATAAAAAGCATATGGACAAAGAAAATTAATGAAAGTGGCAAGCTTTGGAAAAAGTCAACCTGAGCCCCAGAGAAACAAAATGCGTCAGACAAAACCCTATACAGATTATAGAATTTTGAGTAATGGAACAACAGCATGCAGTTAGAACTTATCCCCTAACAGTAGTTGAAAGCTTTGGGACAACCCGCTCAGCGCTAAACATTTCTCTGGGATCTTGATTCTAGTATCCAGAGGGATTTTCTTTTTTTTGACAGATAATTAATATCCAGACGGATTTTGCAATTCAATTGTCTAAGACTCTGTATATCTATCAGGACGCTGTGATACCAATTAGAAGCAGAAGACAACAGCACCATAAAAGATTCCATGAAAAACTGAAACCCAAGGATCCAATCCGAATCACACGCAGATTAATCAGCAAATACAAAATGGATCTACCTCTGTAATAAGCGCCTATTGGGTTCAGGAAATGTCTCAAGAATGGCAGAGCGCATAGCATTGACCCGAGCTTCCTTCCGATCGATTTCTATGGCCAAAAGTGGAACAACTAGTACTTAGAAAACCAATTGCTTATGTTTCAACAGTCTAAAGAGAAAATATTAACTGATCATAAACCAGTAGTCCATGTAATCACAAAGAAGAGAAACTCAAGCAACCAAGACATGGATCTACAGTAACTTCAACTAAGAAATATAAATAGACTGGTACAACTCGGGAAGTATGTAATGAATGTCCTAATTTACTCACAACTGATAATCTAGCCGAGTTCCAAGAATAATTAACTAAAATCTTAAAGTTGATAATTTATATTATTTGACTGCTGGAAGCAAGAAAATATCATGAACTCGGGGAAAAAAAAGGTGGAAGATCGCAACGCTTTTCTTTTCTTTCTTGGCAGGTGTGGAAGATGGCAAGACATCATTGCCTAAAGCTGAAGCACATAGTTTAAAGTTTCTTTCATATCTGTTCTGGTTGGCATTTGACAGAATTCTCGTCTTTTGNCCAAACTCCACGGGTTCCAGGTTTTCATTGAGACACCTGAACATGTTTGAAACTGCTATTCTGACCATTGACCAAGCTTCTGTGGCATTTATATTGTCGAGTTGGTCATAGTGAGTGCTATACATGACTTTGGGGAGCGTGAAACTAAACAAAAAATTATAATGTAATAAATTTTGTTAGCTTTGAGGAAAGAACATGAGTTTAAGCCCACAACTTGAGCACCTTTTTCTCTATAATTAAACGCTGTGCAGGATAAAGCAAACAAACACAAGTATAAAAGAGACTACAAGGAATAACAAGAAAGAGAGCCACGTGGTGACTACAAGTAACAAGAAAATTAGAAATACTCAGAAAATGGTTACAAAATCTCTTATAAAGGAATTGGAAATTTACTTACTGTAAGCTTCTAACAAAGCGGTGCAACAGGAAGCAGGAACAGGAGATGATGGCAGCTCACGAAGCACATGCTGCATAAATGTAGCACCAATTATATTGTATTAAAAGAGCATCAAGATATAAAAATGAGAAACAACATTAGGGGGGCGCAGCAAATGAGTGGAAGTTCATCAAATATTAACCAATACCTTGACGCAGTCGCCAATTACATGAGCATCCTCCTCCGGCACAAATTCAGTTTTTCCTATGGAGATCAATTTGAAATCAGCACGCGAAGGAGAATCCAATATTTAACAGGACAAAAGGACATATAGTAAACCACCAAAACAAATTCTCCTTCATGTTCTTTTTCAAAAAACAATTAGCTAGACCACATCCACGACACTAAACGAAAGGAGAATAAAAGTAGGGAGAAAACAGAAAGAGATAATGGTCGTACACGAGTTCGTGTGAATAGCAATTATTTCATCATCAGTTATAAAAACTGATAGATCGGACAAATAGATGGGGCCATTGCATTAGAAAACACAGGATTGGACCATTAGTGAGACCCTAGTTCTGTTGCAAAGCACTACATCGACCTTTACTCAAATGCAATCGGCACTCTACACTTAATTAAGGGCATTTCTGCGAGGAGCAATGCAAAAGCAAGTGGGAGGAGAAGTAATGCCGTGAACATTCTGCTCAGCCTGGAAAACACAAGCTCCCCCTAAAGCAGCTAGCTTTGGTTGGACAGCTGCAATGGAAGCTTGCTTGACTTAGGACGAGTTACAAGGAAGGGATTCTCCCTTGGAAACAGATGCTTCTTATGTGAAGAATCCTTGGAATCCAATAGACATCACTTTTTCCGTTGCAACTTCGCTTGGCAAATTTGGCCTCCGAATATATTTGGAGTAAGTTGGATGATGCCACAAGATGTGAAAGACCATCTCACTCTCTGGCAGAATCAGAAGTTGGACATGAGCTTGAAGCCAACGTGGAAGACCATCCCACTGTGCATTATGTGGAGTACTTGGTTGGAGAGGAACAATAGGTGTTTTGAAGGGGAAAAAACATCATATATCTTTCGTAAAGACTAGATGCGTGTCAAAACTTTTACTCGTGGAGTAGGGGCAGTATGCTGAAAAATCCAGCATTTCTTTGGATTTTTTCGAACCTTGTTGCAGCAACTGTTGAGGTTATCTGGTTTGGATCTTCTGTACTTTTGCATACCTTCAGCCCTCTTCATTATTAAAACTATCTTACCGTATCAAAAAAAAATTGCTAAACCAAGGTACAGACTATAAAAATCAGAGATAACATAGAATAGCACGGAATAAATAACCAAAATGCATTCCAGACCTAAACAATACTTCAATTTCTTGAAACATAGTGAAATTAGATGGTACAGATAGACAAGCCTTTTTGAAATGTAATACTGCATCCAACAGATGGCAGTCATGCACTAGAGCAGATGTACCTTGTTCATATTCTTTTACTCTCCGCTCCACTTCCTCGACATCTGCAGATTGTCGCAATATACCTTCGACCTTGGTTCCTAAATAGGCAGTTTATAATTAAAATAATTTACAAATATAACCTGATCATCATTAAACCCATTCAACATCCTCCGTAAGGGAGAGACAACAATGTCAACATCATAATATGTGATTTAAGCAGATATTCAATATTGCAACAAGTATCAGAGGAAAGGAAAATAGGATCAGAAATTAAAGAGAAACAAGAGAGAAACTGGGGCTCTTCACAAACTAAGAATTTCCATCATTCAATTTCCTCAAGATCAACATAACACCCAGAGCTTATAGAACAGCTATTTTTTTTATAAGGTAAATAATTTATTAACAAGTGGGGACTAACCCTGTATATAAGTCGTGTACCAAAAAAAAGAGAGAACCTACACCAAAATATGGTTCTCAACAAAAGAGATCCAATCCTCTATACAAATAGGGACCTCATGAGTACACCAAAAAGAAACTAGGAACGATAGACTACTTTTCAATAATCAACAAAAGAAACTGGAACAACTATATAATCAACAGTTTATATCAACACTCCTCTAATTATAATCAACAGCTTGTAGAACATCGTTATAGCTAATACGTATGCACAAATAAGAAAGAACAAGTTTGGGTTTGCTTCTTGTGTTTAGAATCAATATGCCTGAGCTTTCTAGATTTTCCAAATTTTCTGGCCATAAGTTGTTGGAAAATGGAAAATTTCCAAGCAATATCAACATCAAGTACGCCTTAATCCACGTTTCCAAACACAATAACACATAAAGTTTATCCAACAAAAGAAGATATTACACCAACCGGAAAAGGTTATCCAACTAAAGTAAACATGTAATTTAAAGCAAACAATATTTCAACATTACTCTTGCACAACCCATATTTCAGGAGGGAAAGGGTTGCCTTACCAAACTTCTCGAGAAACCTCAGTGCCTTTTCAAGAAATGATGGGCCTCCATCTATATCTTCTAAGGCGAGCAAAATTGGTCTTCCGACAACTAAAGATTTAACAGGACGTTTATCCCTCCCTGAATAAAAAGAAACCTGGTCAGATTTTTACGCCCTAACAACAAACAGGGAACAAGGCAAGTTTCAACTGGACATAGCAGCCAAATCTCATCTGGAGCATTAACAATGTAAACCGGAAGTCTTGGAAGATAACATTACTAACATTGATGGAAAGACCCTTCAATAGAATCACCAGTGTCATTTCGGAAAATGCCATTGTGTCCCATAACAAGAACAGCACTAGGTGCTTGTGCAAGAGCATGCTCTAGGGCGGTCTTCCACTCGTATAGATCCTCCAATGTCTCTGCCTGCAGTTCAAGGCTCAAANCTACTTGCAAGTGGAAGTAGATATGTGTTTAGAACTCAAGTCATTTTGGAATTGTTCCTACTGTTAACTATAACAGTCCATTATACATATGTAGTCATCAGGCTTATCTAAGACTAATAGGCCTGATTATATTGTTTTGCTGAAACAAAATTATTTAAAATAAGTTACTTACCCTTTTCTCAACAAAAAAAAAAATAATTTCAGTTTGGAGCACGTCCTTGAGTTGCATGTTCAGTTTTCTATAATCCTAGAGTTTTAGAGTACAAAGAGACCAGTGTAAAGTAACCCGTGGAGGTTCAAGCTTTTTAGAAAAGAATAACCAGAAATTCAACTTATTTTGCTGCCCAACTCCTCCTAGTAAATTGCTTGTAACATGCATTAAGAGTTCCTGGGATGATATTTGTGTTTAGAAGAGAGAGAGAGAGAGAGAGAGAGAGAGAGAGATACCTTAAGAGTAAAAGCTCGCCCATCACGTCCATCGGGAAACAGCACGGTCAAAAGCTTTTTATCTTCTCTAACGACAACACTAAATAGCAAGGAACTGTAGTAAGAGCAAGGCATAGACTCTGAACATACAAAAATAACAGACCATGATTCATTTATTACCTCCCTGAATTATTCAAGTCAATTCCTCCCAAAGTTAGATTCACTTCACCTCCTCGTTGTGGAAGTGTACTCTACATGAGGAGCGTAATGAATCAGTAGCGTTCAGATGATTAAATCAACAAGAGAAAAAGCTTCACAGCTAAAAGTTAATACATACAGTAAGAGTAAACGAGATTTCCCGACTTTAAGCATCCAAATTACCATTTAAAAGCAGATTAGACCAAGAGTTCACATAGCCTTCCAAGTCTTTTCAATATTAATTGGGGTCGGCTAAATGAATTCTCTATATCAACTTTACTCTATTCATGTCCATTTCATTCCAATACCAAATAACTTCCCTTTTAAGGGAAACTAAGGGTTCTCTAAATATCAGACTTATCACTATATAACTAGTTTAATTCCGATTAATTAGTATTACATATATGGATCCTTAACTTTTATTATGTCCTAATCTTAACTAAGGCTTCACTGATGCAACTTTCCTCCACGTGATTTTGAGAAACCTCATCCCTTTTTAGTACCTTTAGTCATCAAATTAACACACTTGTGAGCTAGTGTATCAGGAGGCCCACATATGACATAGTCAAACAATTTCAAACGAATTTTTCTCTCCTTTTTTTACATGTGTTACTTTCACCCATTGTCGGATGTGATCCTTCCTTTTCTCTTTTCTTTCTTTTCCATAAATGTGGTGTTCGAGCTAGGTTTTGTGCACTTCTACTATTCTATTGCATCACCAATATAGTAAACCTGCTCGCTAAGACTTTAGTAGATTGGGAGAAATCACTTTTACTGCCTCGACTGAGATTCGAAACCTGGTCTCCCATTGGATTCATTGTGCTTAAAGCATTCTGATTAGTTATTTTTAAGATCTAAACCGAAAAGAACCCTTCAAGCAAGATCATGTAGAATAGGCATTTAAGCAAGAAGGACACGGTTCATTCAGGAATGCCATTATTTGAAGACGTATGTGCTAATTTTGAAGAATCTAAAGATAAATCTTAACAAAAGGGATGATGATGATGATGCAATAAAAAGATTTTAAAAAAATGGAAGGAACTAAATAAGCAACTTTTTTTGAAATTACATTCCTCATTGATGTGAATAAGCAACTTGTTAATGTTAGAGTCCAACGAATCAAGACAATGACACTGCTTGCTTTTATCAAATTTGATCCTCCTTTCTTTTTCCTCCTCCTCATTCTTCTTCAATGAAAAAAGTAAGGCTTGAAATGTGATACTTGATTCTCTTACCATTTTCTCATAGTTAATGTTGCTTCTGATTTTGTCCATTTGTTATTCTTTTTGAAATAACCTTATCCTCTAATGTAAGGATTATAACATGACACAAGTTATTATGAGGTCAATCAGTTCTTCTTGTTCAAGTAACATGACTAGAACCTCTTCTTCTTTTTTTTTTATAAGGTAAAGATTTTATTAATAAAGTTACCAAGATGGTACAAAGGTTACATCAAGAGCAGCCAAACACCTGCAGCAGCAGAACTTCAATTACAAGTTTCCTAACGAATCCAAAAACTCTAAATACTGATCCACACTCTCAACTAAACGTCATTTACACCCAAAAAATAATTTTTGCATACAATTATTTTTAATTCTAGAGATGTGAATCCTTCTATTCTCAAAGCAAGCATTGTTCCTTTCTTCCCAAATGGTCCAGAAGATGCATAAAGGAATGGTCCTCCAAAGCTGCTTCTTACTTCTTATTATCTTTTGTCCGTTCCAGCTAAACAGTAATGGATTTATGTCTGATACCATAGTCCAAGAAACACCTCTCAAATTCAAAAAAAGCTCCCAGCACTGTTTAGCAATTTTACAGTGGATAAACAGATGGTTAACAGTTTCCAACTCTTCTTCACATAAATAACACCTGTTACTTGGACTAAATCCTCTCTTTTGTAGATTATCTTACGTAAGACAAGCTTCTCTGATGGCAATCCACCCAAAACAAGCCACTTTGGTAGGCACTCTGGTTCTTCATAACATTTTCCAAGGCCAATTAGAATCATAAGAATCAGATTGTTTCTGGAGACAATCTGGAGAAGGTTATAACAGCTTTTAACATAGTATTGCATATCACTGTTTGCTGTCCATACAAATCGATCCTCCTTGTTTTGCTCTATCTCTGTTGTGCTCAACAATTGGAGTATCTGTCCCACTTCTTCCATCTCCCAGTCATTAAAACCTCTTCTGGAATTTAATTGCCAGCCATTTGTGGAGTAAAACTCGGCAACATGTCCATCTTTGATAATAGAACAATTATATAGGCTTGGAAATCTGTTACTTAACCTCACATCCCCCACCTAGACTTCAGTCCAGAATCTGATTTCACTTCCATTTCCCAGCTTCAGCCTAGTGTGTTGTTGAAATTCATTCCACAGCCTACTAATATTGCTCCAGATATTGCCTTTTGTTGAACTGTGAACAGTTGCAGGCCTCCATGTATACTTCTTCACATATTTGGCATCTATAAGTTTTTCCAAGTGCTTTCCTTTCCATCATTGTATCTCCACAACCATTTATATAGTAAACTCTTATTGTGCATTCTCAAGTTTCTAACCCCCATACCTCCTCCCTTTTTAGCAGTTATTACCTTTTGCTATTTTACCAAATGTAACTTCTTTCTATCTGCATTTCCCTCCCATAAGAAGTTACTCCTCATAGTATTTAACTAGAACCTTTTTATTTGCTAATATGGATGATGGTTCCAACAATGATCCAGCGTAAGTTTCTTTCCTCATTTTATCTCACTATATTTTCGTATTTGATCGTTTCCCGTACTATGCGAATTTCCTTAGGCTCTCGGATGCTTGGTTTATTCTTAAATGGATATTGAGCCAATATCTACACGTATGGGAAAAGATTCTACTAATCTTTTTGTAAATGTAAATTAGCATGGAAAGACTTTACAAAGTAGTACTTATTATTTATGAGGGCAAGGATAAATTTGAAAAAAAATAATGCCTTCTTGATTAAAATGATATTTATTTTGGTCCAAATTTGTAAGTCCAAAAAGACACTTATTTTGGACATAAACAAAGAATTCTGGAGAAGAAAAGGAGAGGATAAAGGTAAAGGAGTAGTTATAATTAATTGAAAGGTAAGACTTGCATAGTGTCGTGTGTCAAATAAAATAAAATGGCATGGCACAACTGATAAGGAATACGAAAAAATTTCTCACTGCGTTTTGCCTTATGCAATATACAGCACTCATACTACTCTCTCATCAGTTTTGTCACATGAAATTGCTGATGTCAAACCATGTATTGACAAAACCCATGTGAAATAATTACTTTCTAGAAAAAAGAAAATCATTTTAGTTTATCCATATTCCATCAATTACATTTGAGTTTGTACACTGCTACCATGTCAACATAAAGCTTATTTCTCTAGGTCTATCTTAAAATATTTGGTGCCAAACAATAAGTTTTGCAGATCCAACGGAGTCTTCCTAGTGTGTAGATGATAATACTAGAAAGTGCTAAAGCTACAACTGAAACTCTTGATGCTTTGAGAATCTCAGCAGCTACAATGAAAGCAATGCAAAAAGCAATGTAAGTGACAAAACTGACTTTATTTCCTTTTATTGTTTGTTGTTTTCCTATACTTGATACATATGACATGTATCAAGTTTGCTTGTCTCGGAGCAACAGTAAAGTTATCTCCGCATAACCTATATATCATGGGGAATACAGTTTTATTTAACAGATATGTGATCCTATTTGCTTCCTTGTAGGAATACAATTTTATTCAAAGATAAGTGATCACATTGCTCATTTTCCACATAATAGCAATATAGCACGTTGCACATTAATCAGCATGAGGTAAGATATGATGTATTGTGTAGCTAATTAAGTTGGAAAGCGCTTTATGCATCCTTCAAGTATGATTTCTTGTTCCCCATAGGTTCAATTGACAGTCTAGATAAACGGGAAAAAATGCATTCAATTCAGCCAAGGGACGTAGTGCGCATTGGAAGTTGCAGACTTATTGCTTTTTATTTGTCGTGTGGCTCCAAGCAACGAAATTTCAAATTCTTGAAGAATATGTGTTGCAACTTCAAAAGCACACTGCGTTCCTCATCTGAATTGAACTTCAAAGAGCAAAGAGGAGGAAAGAGTAACTTCTAGGTGTTTTTCCTAGAACTTAATCATCAGCTTGAATTCAAGCTACGATTCTCTCTTTTCTTTAGAAATAGAATATAAAACCAAGTAAATAGTGGAACAAAAATATCAACTTTGGAAGTAAAGAACACTCAGAGAAATTATACTGACAGGATCATTCTTGAAAAAGACCAGAGATGTACGTGTAAGGATGAACCAACGCTTTTTCCATGACTTCCAACCTAATCCTGCAGAAAGTTATTCTTTGAGAATTAGATGTCAAGCAACCAAATTGGTAAAAACACAGAGTTTGCTTAATAAATTGGACTGCACAGAACTCAGCATCAACCAGCTAGTGCAAGCCCAAAAATAAGTTCTATAACACTTAGATTGGACCAGCAGCAACTGCAAATCCCAGCATTTCATTTTGTATTTTGTTTTGACCTAATGTATTGAGCATTTGAACTTATCCAAAAAAAAAAATGCACCGAGTATTTCAAACTCCTATTACCCTTTGGACAGTAGTTCTTTAACATATTCATTGTGGTTTGCCGAAGGTGAAGAAAAGCTGATGAAAATAATTGGAACTGACAGTTTTCTTATCATCATTTCATTCAAAAATGTCATTAAACAGTGGTGCACACTGAGTAGTTTCAATCTCATCAATAAATTTTCCCACATTCACCATCTTCATAACTAACATTTTTCAGTTGTCTTCTACAAATATGGGATCAATAACAAATGAAAATAGATCAGGGAAATCTGCCATCATCCTGGATTTCTCCACACCCTCTACCCAGGAAAATTAACTCAGCTTTCTACATTGACTATTCTCTAAAATTTCCTCACAATAAGAGAAGAAAAAAGATGTTAATGGAACCTACTGACCCATCACAATCTAAAATCCTCCAAATATCGGACCAGCCTTCTGAGATTAAAGGCAAAATTACTCTTTTTATTTAAACAGATATTGTTGAACTCTTATAAACCGGAAAAAAAGTGTAGCCCTTAATTATTATAGTATAAAGCCAGCATTAAGTAAAGGATTGTTGACAGAGTTTTAGGCAACTAGTGCATAACAAATAAGCCAAATCATGAGGGACCAGTATAATAATTATCAACATAAAGGCATCAAGGAAACTGGAAAAGCGTTACGGACCTTTTGAAGAGATAAACAGTGGCCCACTCTTGAAAACCTGCAAAAAATTAGCCAGTTAAAAAATTGAAGCCCAAGAATTTTAATTGTAAAGCACGAATAGAAGTAACTGGTGCTAGTTAGACTGTCAGGTCAAAAGTTCTTAAATTTAGATATTTCACGCATTGAACAAAATAACATAATAGATATTGACACCTATAAGGACGTACATGTTCTATTTATCAAATAACCAATACATCTCTCACCTTCTCTTATTATTTCAGATGGTATAGAGCCTCTATAACTTTTCGTAGAGATATAAGTAGCTTTTGCCAACTGATTAGCAGCAAAAAAAATCCTTCTTTTTCAATTATTACTTGGGTGGAAATTCTTTTTCTTTTTCTACTTCTCTTTATAATAATGGTCTGCGTACCAACTTGTTTGCATCTCGCCTACTCCAGCAAGCACCACCTGCTATACAGGATAACTCTACCACCAAGGCTTAGATATATGGCAAGCAATCGCCTAACCTTTTTTCCTCTAGTAGGATTTGACCTTGATCTCCCGTGATTTTTGTTCCACCTGAATCAACCACTATGTCATTATTCACCGAGTCCCGAATTGTAGGTCACTGGCCGTCGGGATTTCTTGATTCTCAAAAGGACTTTGATCTAGCGATAAGGGGACAACACGTGATTTGGGTTAGGCGCACATCACTGTTTCAGATCCTACATTTACTACATCAGACGTAATTTGGTTGTAACTGAGTAATTGACCTCAGAATGAGCCTATTTTGCACTAAATTGCAACTTAAATTTTGGTAAAATAAGTGTAACTCCAACCAAGAGATCATAATTTCTTTAATGCAAATCATTCGACTATAATTGACTTCACGCTGATGATTGACCCAATTTTCATCTTTCTTTAGGTTATCTTTTGGGTAAAACAACTGCAAAAGGAATCAAAATACCCTAACTTCATTAGTTTGACTACAATTGACTTTATAGTAACCCAAAATTTACTTCTCTTTTCTAACTAAGTTTTTGGGAAAAACATATATAACTCCTACTACTTAGAAAAGAAAAGGGGAAAATCATACATTTTACTAAATGAAAATCATTTGACCATCTTTGACTACACAATGATCCAAAATTGACTCTAATCCAATTCAAAAAACATCTCATTTTCTCAAATAAGTATTTACTATAATTGACTTCAAAATGACCCAGAAATTCCTTCCTATCTATCTTATCATCTGATTAAAACAACATTAAAGGAAACTCCTAAAAAATAAAGGAGCATTAAAAAAAATCCCTCTCTTATATTTTTTATCTTAACCATTAGTTAAAACTGGTATAACACCATCAAAACATAATCTTTAATATCATACTATTTCACACTGACCCAATTTTATTTTATTTTTGAAAACTCTTAACTTATCCATTATGCTAAAGAACTCTAAACCCAATTCATAGAAAGTCTCAAATTTTTTCATTTTGACCATTCTTGACTTCACAATAACCCTGCAACTTTCTTCTATATTACCAACGGAAAAATCCTTCTTTTTAACTATAACAATATAGACATAAAATCTTCCTCTCTGTATTTTTTGATAATCAAAAAATAGTGTGAGCTAGTGCAGCAAGGTTAGAACATCCGTGGATAATAGAGCCTCCCTCTACCCTTCTCCACTCAAATATCATGTGTTTGTCTGCGACAAATTTAAAACCCATGATGTGTGTTTAATACACACATCACGTGTTGCAAAGTGTTGCAATCTTACCACTAGAGGCAAAATCTTCTTTTACAATTCTAACTTAGACATTTGGGCTAAAAAAACTCTAACCCAAATCAAAAGTTCCCAATTTTTCAATTTTGACCACCATTGACGTCACAATACTCCACAATTTTCTTCACTATTAGCAGCACCAAAAAATCCATTTTTTAAACAATACCTACATAGACACATTTTTTCTTTTTTGCAATTCTAAGCTCTCCATTAAATTTCCATTTTTTTTTCCATTTTGACCATCATTGACTTCATAATGACCCCACATTTTTCTCCCTTTTTTTTAGATTATGCCATTATAAATAAAACCAATTTTTTTTCTTTTACTATTCTAACTTATCCATTAGGCTAAAAGAAAAACTCTAACCCAGTTCATAAAAAGTCCAAATTTTGGCCATCAGTAACTTCACAATAACCCCGCAAATTGTCTCCTAATCCCAGCAATAAAACACATAAACATTGAAATAAAACATAAAAAAAAATTTAAAAAAAATAATAAATAAGAAACTTTACCGTATTTGAAGTACCAATTCGTGGACGCTCAAATGCAGCAAGTGAAGCCGACATTTTCATAAAGGGATTCAAAATAGTGAACCCAATAAACCCAACATTTCAAAAATATGACAAAATAATAGTATCAAAAACTGAGTTGAACTCGGATCGGGAGTACAATAACTCGGTTTTAACTCAGTAAAGGAGAATCTAAATAGGAGATCTAAAGGGTTCTAATAATAATTTGCTGCTGGTGAAAGTAGATTGATGAAGAAGGAACAAGAACCAAACAAAACAACAGAGAGAGGTTTGTGGGTTGTGTTGCTATTTTTGTTTTGAGGTTAGGGCCGGATGTGGGGTGGGGGTGGGTATT